CTCATGTGCGGCTCCAAGGTTATGTCCATCTCTACGGCACCAAAAACAACGGGTGGCTCGAGCTCCATAGCAAAGTGGAAGAGGGGATCTAGCACCCGCTGCTAGAGCCGATCCGGTGATTCCTCCGGGCCGCACAGCTCGACAGTCTATTTAAGGAAGGAATAGTGGACCTGACGTGGCATCGATGGGGGTGCGCCAGATCTAGGAGAAATTTTATGTGCTCCGAGGAAGTAGTCGGGAGGTAGAGATGGACCTGGAGCTTGCATTGCTGCTACCATAGTTATTGAAACTGGACTGGCAATTAAACCAACTTGGTCATAGTTTCATTTGTTCACCGGTGACCACTAGTCCAAAGCAGTTCAATAACCCATAAATAAATAACTGATTCCATTCAATCATGAGGAGCATAGCCTGGAGGTAGGTTTCCTTGCCTGTATGCCTGAGAACCAGGGTTTGAATCCCCACTCGGACCATTTTCTCTTATTTTCTGTCTACTATTCGGTCATCCATGCAAGCCTTTGTCAGTTCAACCCGATTTTTGGAGCCGGTTTTCATAGGCGCTTGGTGGTCGGAGTCGATTTTCATAGGGTAGTCTAGTCGGTTTACACCAGTTTGATTACACAGATGGTCTTTTAATTGGACCAGACCCGTGGAGGCGTTGGTTCCTATTTTTTTAGAGCTCATTGAGGCGCACGAACACGGAGAGGAGATCCATGATTCTGTCCTCCCCCTCCTCTTCCTCTGCTTCGACCATCGCCCACACCGTCTGTTGTACCGAGCTCTGCCTCCTCCATCCATTAAACGTCGTCGCCCTGGAGGTAACGAGGCGTGGTGCGGCCGTCCTCTGGCTTCAATGAGTGCACGCCGTCGTCGTCGTCGTTGTCCCGATGTGTAGGCCTATTGTTTAACGTTTTGCTATTCGGTCTGCCACTGGCATGTGGGTCCCACTGGTATTTTTATTTTTATTTTTGTTTCTAGTGCCACGTAAGCGCTACATAGACTGCTAAGACTATATCAACGAGCCACGTAGATGCTACATCAATAAAAACCGTTTTTAATATTATTAGGGGATTTGATTTACACTGGTTTTAAATGTTGATAGATATATTTAATATTACTGAGGGATTTGATTTACACTGGTTAAGGAACGGGAATCGGCACATAGTTGAGCGACCGAAAGTGGACCCTTTCCTTTTCTAGAGGCACCTGATTTATCTCGATCCTCACTAATTAGGTTGTGTTCTTTCCTCGTGGTTGGAAACACTACCCTCCAGCATGGAAAACAGAGCAGTCTATTAGCATGTGGTTAATTAAGTATTAACTATTTTATTTTTAAAAATAAATCAATATGATTTTTTTAAACAACTTTTATATAGAAACTTTTTGAAAAAAATATACCATTTAGCAGTTTAAAAAACGTACGCGTGGAAAACGAGAAAGAGGGGTTGGAGAGGGTGCGGCCCAAAATGTTCACGGCCCTGGCCTCCCGGTCAAAGTGGCCACACTTTGGAGACTGCAAAACAAGGCCTTTTTCTCGTAGCCCTTGTCGTTTATCCTTTTTTTTTCCCGCTTCCGGTGCCTAAGAGCAACGTGTTGCACATTTTGACGACACGTAGTAGCCACGTGCCACATGGTTTGCCAGGAAGAAAACCTTTTTATTGTCTGATTAATATTTCAAGGGTACAGACACAGAAATCCACAATTACCAGGATTATCTTAAAAAAGGAAAAAGAAAATTACAATAACCAACCCATAAAACACTTAAAGTTTAATATTCCATCTCACAAGTCATTTGATTACAAATATTCACTCCTAATAAGTTTTGTTGCAAAACCACCGTAGTGAGTAGATGCTTAACCGAATTAGCCCGTTTTGTTGCAAAACCACCGTAGCGCGTAGATGCTTAACCGAATTAGCCCGTTACCGCTTATGTAGAGTCATCACATGTTAAGTTAGTCGAGTCAATCTTATATAAGTACTTGCTTAGACTTATTTTTCGTGATTGATTGGATTTTTTTTTTCATATAGCGAAACTCAGTACAATAATGTTTAAGGTTTCATCAGTAATTCTATTTGTGAAATATTGAAAAAAGTGTCAAGACTATACTATGAAAGTATTTAATTTTAGTAAAAACCACATCGATGGCTCACACTTTATGAATAACATGTTGATTTGGTTATATATACACACACTGGGTGTTTTTTTAACAAAATTGAGTATATGGATGGACATTTGCAACAAAATAACTTATGGGGTGGAATATCAAACTTGAAGTGATTTATGATGTGGTATTTATAATTTCCCAAAAGAAAAAAAACTAGTACATACAAAGTTGAATAGATATTTAAAATAGCATTATATGAAACTTATATACAATCTTTTTCTATTTATAAAAATCAAATTATTTGTAAGCTTGTGAAATGTGTTTGTGATAATCAGCAATATAATCTATGAGGAAAAAACAACTGACCAAAAGTGTGCAAATATAACAAAAAATGTAGTGCACTGTATAAAAAACGGTCAACGTGGTCATTCACTTATGTTCCATATATTAATTATTAAAACAATTAGTACTCTCGACTTTGGAGTAATCAAAGAAATGTGTATCACTATGCATTTGAATGGAGCTAGCGCTGAATTATAACGGTTTAATCAAATTAAAGTAAATAAATCCATGATATACAAAACACGGAAACTTGAATTTGGAACCATTAAATAAAAACACTAATTTGAAATTCCACCACAGGCAGCACACTTGCATTATCGATTACAAAGTCTTTGACCAAATAATACTTATTACGTTTTAATTTTAAAATTATTTAACCAATAAAATAATAAAGTGAAATTCCAATTTGAGACAGTATTACAGTTTTTATTTATATATTTTAAATTATTAACTTAATAAAACATAAATTAATATAAAATGTATTAGAACATGTCTACATATAATTTTGTAATGATTAATTTTGTTTTTAACTATTAATTAATAAAATCAAATAATTTTGGGAGTACACGATAAAGGTGGTAATGAATTTGTGTGTTGACCGCATATGGCACCTCCCAAGTGGCACAAATATTTATATTTTTCACTAGAAATTTAATGAAGACATGGGTTTGCAGCTAACCAGGGGATGCATTTATCGATGAATGCTTATGATGTGTGTTGTGATATGTGCATGTGTGTCATTGCAAGTTGGGAAAAAAAATGAAACAGTTTTATCCTTGATACTTATAAATGAAGTGTTTTTTTGGTGCGGAATAAAAAATGAAGTTGATCACGCATCATACTCATAGTCAACACTTTACATTGAGTTAATACTCCCCCTGTCTCACGATAAGCATAACCATGAGTTTCCGTGTCTAACTTTATTTTAGTTAGACACGGAAACTTATGCCTGCGCTTATTTTAGAATGGAGGAAGTACATTATTATGTTGGGAAGGTGAATAAGATTTTATAGGACTGCTTTAATTGCTTTACAAAGTCAACGAGAAGATACCATAAAATGCTTTACATATTACTAAGTCATCATTTGTGGAGCAAAAATGCTGTATTCTTTGTTGAGAGTTCTCAACGCGCACACGATTTTCAAATTACAAAATGGTAGGAGTAGTATTTATTGTAAAAATTTTCTATATAAAAGTTGCTTAAAAAACATATTAATCTATTTTTTAAAAAAAATAGTTCATACTGTACTAAACTAATCACGTAATGATGAGTCGTTTCGTTTTGCTTGTGATATTGGCACGACTTTGAGTTATTATGAAACAAAAGCTGCACACCAGTAAATCTATTCTAAGGGCAGTCCCAACCCTCCAACTAGAATGGTGTCTATAGCATTAACTATATTGTCATGTAGCACTTTTAGCTTATGTGACACTATATTAATTAAGAGAGAGTGTGAAGAGAGGAAGAAACTAGATCTCATGCAAGACACAGCTTTAACACGAGAACCTATGCACTAGATACTATCAAGTTTGTATGGGGAGAGAATAGTGTCTCATAAGGCCAGTAGCAGTGCGGGAAACGCACATGAGTAGCTCAACCCCTCCAGCTAGACAAAGAACCGGATTTCACAGTGCAGGCAATATACATGTTAGTGGGTCCCACCCATGTTAGTAGGTCCCACCCATCTCTCTTTTCACGTCCATCTCTCCTTCTCCCTCTCTCTCTATCCTATCTCCTCGCATTCCACGGATCAAGACCGCAAGCGGCAAGGGGCGACGACGGCGGGCAAGAAGGTAAGGACGCCGGCGAGCTCGGACGCGGCCTCGACCTCGAGCTCCTCTCCTTCTCCGCGCTTTCCCCATCGAGCCGGCAAGCTTCTCTGACGAGGACAGTGGTGGCGGCGCAGATCGAAGCGGTGCGGCGACGAGCTTCCCGGTGACCGAGGTCGGTGACGCGGAGCAGAGAGCGGGGACAACGACGAGCGGCGCTGGCTCTCCCCTCCTCCCTCCGCCGGCGCAGGCTCTCCTCTCCTCCGGGCCGAGCGGCGGCGGCGGCGCGGAGCGCGGGGACGACGATGAGCGGCGCCGGCTCTCCCCTCCTCCCTCCGCCGGCGCAGGCTCTCCTCTCCTCCGAGCCGAGCGGCGGCGGCGACGTGGATCTGGGACCCTCCTCTCTCGGCCGGCGACGAGGAGATGGAGCCGCTCGTGGTCGTCGTCCTCCTCGCTTCGTCTCCACTTCCGGCCGGCGACAAGGTTTCGGAGGCGGCGGCGCGGAGCGGAGCGCGGGGACGACGACGAGGTCGGCGACGCGGAATGGGAGGGCGCGAGGTGACGGCGAGTCGGAGGCACGCCATCCACAGTGCAGGTTCCAGCCGTTTCTCCGCCGCGCGTGGTCCCGCGCGAGTGAGGAATCGTGCTTCCTGTTAGGGGGCGAGGAGCTCTGGTGGGGCGCGCGACCTAGCGCCACACACGCACAAATCCGAGCTGGCGGTGCTAGGTAACGCTCCACGTCCCCGCACAGTGAGAGGCCTAATAGATGAAGAATAAATATGATTGATAAAGAAGAGAGATGTTGTATTTATTAATGGCCCACTTTAAAAAACCAACCATGGTGGTTGTAGAATGCAGTTTCTATTGTGATGTCTTATTGACACAGCACCATAGACACTACTTATGCACATCATGGGTTGAGACTGTCCTAAGGAAAAGGTAAATCCATCCTAATCAAACGCAAATTAATCGGTTCACCGTACTTGAACGCCCGGAAGACTTTAGCAATCAAGCAGTTTCACGAGCTCCATCCCCCCTGCAACGCGCCAATGCTTGCTGGAGTAGTTACAAGTAATAGTAACAGCTAGTCAATCCAAGTACTACTACTAGTTACCACTGTCTACTACTGCCACGGCACGCTGGCACTGCACAACCAGAACACGGATACATTATCTTAGCACCAAAGGACCAAACTATGGGCAGGAACGGACGCAAAGCCGCAGCGCAACGGCATGTGTGTCACGATGGACCAATAGTCGCGCGCGCGCTCGCGCACGCACTGGCGGAACGATCACGACACGAACTGCATGAACTCGCTGTCGCGGAGCAGCGCCGCCATGGTGTCGGGGGCGAGGCACACCTCGATGTCCACGCTGCCGTCCCCGGCGCGGGCAGGGAACGCCGACATCTTGCCATCGAACTTGTTGGCGCGGCCGCTCCGCACCGCGAGGGGGCGGCCCCACCCGAAGTCGTTGCCCTCATACATGGGGAACCGGTTCGAGCTCCCCATCGTGATCACCGCGCCGTCCGGGTTGCCCAGCGGGAAGCACCGGGGAGCGCCCTGCCACGCCGCCGCGGCGCGGCGTATCGCGCCGTCGTCGTACGCCGCCAGGCTCGCGTTGAGCTTGGCCGCCGCCCACCGCAGGTCGTTGGACGCCAGCTCGGCCACCGTGGCCGTGGTTGCTGCGCTCTGGATGGCGTTGCCGAAGTACACAGGGGAGATCGCCGGGCGCAGCCTGTGCCGGCAGTTCACCGCCATGCGGAACGTGCTCGTCGCGTCGGGCGCCAGACGCTGCCGCGCGCGCGTCACCGAGAGCCATATCTGCGCGCACAGTGACTGGAACGACGAGATCGCACTGAGCCCTTCGGGATTCTTCCGATCGTGCGCCATCTTGCCGTAGACCTCGGCGTCTTGACCGCCGCTCGGGCGACGGTTAGTGATTGCCTTGAGCTCGCGAATCGCATCCGCGCTGAAGTGAAAGACGCGCTCGCGGAGAGGCGCGTCCGCGTCGAAGGTCACGGCGGGGCCCACGCCTCCTGGAAAGCGGAGGACGGCGGTTGACTCGCCAAAAAAGCTGCGGCGGAAGTCCGGCAGCTTGGGTGACGCGCCACGGCAAAGGGCGGCCCATGTATTAAAGAAGTGCCAAAAGGAGGTCCCGTCCACCACGGCGTGGTTCGCGACGATGCCGATGAACACGGCGCCGTCGCCGAGCACGGTGACCTGGAACGACGTGAGCGGGCGGCGGTGGCCGTCGTAGCTCACGGTGCGGTCCATGGGGAACAGGTCCTTGGTCAGCTTGGTCGGGACGTCGGCGTCGGGCACGATGAAGTCATCCAGCGACAGGTTGGGCGCGACGGCGTGGCGGAACTCGACGCCGGCGTCGTTGCAGCGGATGACGACGCGATCATCGGGGAGCGTGACAAGGCGGCCGGCGAGGGTCGGGAAGATGGCGAGCGCCCGAGACAGCGAAGACATGAGCAACGAAACCAGGGAAGCCATGGGCACGTCGGGGGCGGGGAAGAAGAGGCCCTTCTGGATGTAGTGGCACGACAGCATGGGCAGGTCGGAGACGGACAGCGTGAGGTCCCCGACCGCCGAAGCGCCGTCCGGGCGCACGTCCTGTCTCGACACGACCGTGATGCCCGACGCCGGCGCGTCCACGCCGACGAGGCTCTTCGTCACAATGGGCGACGCGGCCGAGGCGGCGCCCACCATGGCCACGGCGGAGAGCATCTGAGCCATGCGTTCCGATCGATTGGCGTTTGTGCGCCACCGGCTGCTGGCTAATGGAGCAGTAGCAGGAGAGTGTGCTGCCGTTAGCGTCGCGCAATTCAGGCCAAAGAGGTGGTTTGGGCAGTGCTGCCTCTGCTTGCCCTGGACACACTCGGCTGTCCAGGCCGATTTATATAGGCGACGAAGAGGGGATAGATGCATGCACCTGGATCAGTAGCACTCGCAACCTTTTTCTTTAACAGCAGCACTGTTTTGGATATTCTCTCTGAGTATGCAGGTTTTGTGGTTGTCAGATGAGGAGATATCAGATAAAGGAGCAGCTAGAGATGTGAGCTACGCTTGTGAACAGTTGGACAAAAAAAAGGGCCCAGTTTTAAAATATTGGCGATGAATATGATTACCACCAGCATAGCTTTTGTTGCGTGAATTTGGTTGTTGGATGGCTCTACAAGACTACAACTACAACAACTGTCCCCTCCTTTATCAGCAAAATATCATCATAAATTAGAAAAGAACAAGTGTATCACAAATGATTTATCCACCAGAGATATTTCCATCTTCACCTGGTTTTCTTTTCATATCCAAATCCTCATTTGGTTTTCAAAAAGATACTTTTAGGTTTGGTTTGTATATATATGAAGATTGAAGAGGACGGTTCAAAAATCTTTTTGATTCTTGAAAGTAATTGCACGAAAAGAAAAGAAGTCTCAACTTTAGCTATTTAATGTAGTTATTGACGAGATAATGAAAAGTGCATTTAATATTTATCCGAAAAGATACGGTGAACACATAACGGCTACCCTTATTAAAACGAACGTGTAACGTCAAAAGTATTTGCTGTCATGTTAATAGCCTCAATTTCTCAAGAGTTATCTGTTCGTTTTGAATGCATTCGGTATAATTAGGCTCCAGCAACGTGTGTAGGCGCCAGTTAGAGAGCCAGAAGCGTCCTATTCATGGCATCCACATCCACCTTTAATACGAACGGATTAGCGTTTTATTCTCCGTCACCTGTTACGTGGTCTACATCTGTGTCACAGAATAGGTTGATCTTGTCTTCTTGAATTGGAGAGGGGGAGAGAATGAGTTGCTCGAATTTAACTTGTTTTCTAGCCTGTATCCAAGGCCAAGTTCCTTTTTCTTTTTCCATTCCTTAGTCTTGCTTCTGGATTGTGGTATTTAGAAGTTGGATTCTTAAAAGTTGGATGTGGCTTTAGATACATATGGAATGCACTACTCCCTCTGTCCACAAATATAATGGTTTTTGTCCGAATGTGACACATTCTAATACAACGAATCGACTCTCTGTCCAGATTATTGTATTATGATATATCATATCCAACCAAAAACCCTTATATATATATATGGACAAAGCGAGTACATAATACTGCTAGCAATAGTTTTAGAACATCATCACTCTAAAATCCACTTGCCTAGTAGAAATCCACTTGTTTTTATATTATAGGGCCTGTTCATGCAATTTTCAACCATACCATTTTTTGGCAAAGTTACCAAAACCATGTCTATGTTTAGTTTGTTGCTAAATTTGGTCACTACATAAGAAATCATGCCAAAATTTTGGCAATATTGCCATCTTGATAAAATTTTGGCACTGCCAAAACTTAGTACTCCTTCCGTTTCACAATGTAAGTCATTCTAACATTTCCCACATTCATATTGATGTTAATGAATATATATATATATATATATATATATATATATATATATATATATATATATATATTCATTAACATCAATATGAATATAGGAAAACCTAGAATGACTTATATTGTGAAACGGAGGAAGTAAGGTTTATTTTGGTTACAATTTGAACAGGCCTATAGTCTTTATCAAAATTTGCCTAGTAGAAAAACATATTTTGATACTTGGTCTCACTAAAATTCTTACTTCCTCCATACCAAAATAAGTGTAGCTATGTGGTTCAATAGTTTAAATTTGAGGTATTAAGATTTGAATTTTTGATGCTAAGGCTATTAAAATTTAACAGCAAACGAGAGTAAATAGTACGGATATGAGCACATGCTTAAAAATATAGCACAAATCCTTGGCCCGTTTGCCTTGAGAAGCCAATATGCCAGACTCGTGGCCATAATCACCTAAACACTGCTGACGATGTCGCACGTCACATGCGTGATTTTGAACTAAACAATACTAGCGTGTAATATTTCTTTGTTTCATCATTTGTAAGACTCTTATGCTTTATAATTAAAGCTAGGCGGGTGACCGTCTTTTCTCTAAAATACTAGCGTGTAATAAGGTAAAACTTTTCCAACTCAAAGTAAACATTATGGTTTGTAGAAACCAAAACCCAGTTGGTCCTTCGCAATTTTCTTTTCCTCGTGAAACTTCATCTTCTATCGTACCGAGTGCAACATCATTAGTACTATCAATCAAATTATGCACAGGACAAAGGAAAAACAGCATGCTCTGCCAACACACAAAACGTACCATTATACTGTAATTGATTAGTTGCAAATACGACTATGCTATGCAGTGACGCATGCAGTACACATCGGAGGAGTTATATGTACTGACAAACGAAAATGCGTAGCACGCGTTACAACTTGAAAAGTCACGCGATGGCACGGCCTCGCGAGGTTCGATGGACCTGTCGGTTTCGCCACAATTTGGTTGGGCAGCCTACACGCGCGTCAGTACCAGCACCCGACGGCAGTAGTTGTGTGTCGCAAGAGTGTACTCCCTCCGTTCAAAAAAGTCAAACCCTGCGTTTCCGTGTCCAACTTTAACTGTCCGTCTTATATAATTTTTTTTTATAATTCGTATTTTTATTATTGTTAGATGATAAAACATGATTAATATTTTATGCGTGACTTGTCTTTTTAATTTTTTTTATAATTTTTTTAAATAAGACAGACGGTCAAATGTTGGACACGGAATTTAAGGTTTGTCTTTTTTTTTTTTTTGGATGGAGGGAGTACTCACTAGTCACTACTCAGTACGATTTGGCACTCTGCGACAGTTAGCCTCTCAGTTCAGTGCACGGTTGAGGGGCCGGATCGTGTCCGACGACGCATCAGCACGGCCTACGGCTCCATGGATTGGATCCTTTCCCCTTTTCCCCTCGCGACCGCGAGACGTCAAGCGGTCGCGTCGACGCCGCCGGTAGAGACGTGGTACTACCTTGTAGGCTGGCCGAGTGGCCGGTCACCTTTCAGCTCCGGGCGGATTCGTTCACGGTTCATGAACCTGCTGCTGACAGATGTACTCCCTACGTCCAAAAAAAAAAAAACAAACCCTAAAATTCCGTGTCTAACGTTTACCTGTCCGTCTTATATAAATTTTTTTTATAATTAGTATTTTCATTGTTGTTAGATGATAAAACATGATTAATATTTTATGCGTGACTTATTTTTTATTTTTTTATAATTTTTTTAAAGAAGATGGACGGTCAAACGTTAGACACGTAAACCCTAGGTTTTTTTTTTTTGAGGGAGGAAGTAAAATCTTAGTACTAGCTGCTGCCCGCCCCCCGCCGTCCTTGCAAAGAATCTTCTCTGTTCGGACCGACGGGGCACAGAGAAACTGAGATCGATCGATGCTGCCGTCGTCGTTGTCCTGCACAAACTGGGATACTGGTGGATGCATGTATGTTCTTGTCGCTCCGACAACATACTGAAGTTCGGAATTAGCAGCGACGACGCTCGTGCATTGTGTCTACACCCTCCCTCTAAAAAAAAAAAAAAAGATAAACCTTAGTTTTAAATCTGGACATACATTATGTCCAGATTTAAATCCAGGGTTTGTTTTTTTTGGACGGAGGAAGTAGCTAGGAACGTGTAAACTAGTCGATGCTCCTCCCTGCTGCCGGCGCTGGTGAGCTGGAGCTCGATCATTCGATCCGTCAGCCACTGAACCTGAGCGCCGCCCTGCAGCTGTGCATCATCGCTGAGAGTAATTCGCAATCCAAGCTCGTGGTTAGCATCCCCGGCCACGTGATTAGCCCCCACGGGCGCATCGGAAAAATGGCCGGCTAACAAGGCTTAAGATAATCGCACCTGGCTTAGCGGCTCTGATCCCGAGGACACTCGCGCGCGCGAGCGATATACTCCAGTAATTAAGCGCGCGTGCCGCGACCATAATATAATGGCAAGCGGGCAATGCGATTAGTGGGGGAGCGCGCGGGGGCGGGGGCACGAACAATCTGGCCGGCGAGCGAGGCGGGGTCGGGGAGGTCTACTCTGGTGGTGGTACAGCGGAAGTGGGCGTGGAAATAAAGAAAGAAAGGCAGGAGCAAGGTGGGACGCACCCACGCGGCCGGCCGGCGCGCGTCCTCGCTGTCTCGCGGCCAGCAGTGGCAGGCGCAGGCCGGCCACCTTGCCGATCAAATGTCAAACGCCAACGCGCACGTATTACAGCTCAGGCGCGCGCGCAGCGGACGTGGGATGGTGGGGCAAGTTGGTACCGGGGATCGTTCATTCGTTGGCAGCCTTCGCGTTGTCTGGGGTACGTTCTGTCCGGGTTTTGAACAGCCTTGTTGCGGTTTGCTCAGACTGCCTCAGTGCTTCGGCCTTCGAGGTGCAATGCTTCCGTGAAATGTTGCCTTCCACGGCAACATTGTCGGCTTATCGCATCGTGCACCTCAGCATGCATTCGTAGCATAACGGAATGTACTGTGCGCAAATTTAAGCGGTGATGCCCCACTGCCAAAGGTAGGAATACATGCAGAAAAATCAAGCAATAAATGTTCCATTTCTCGCGGAGCTCATGAGAGTTCAATGTTTTTTTTATTGACGTAAGAGAGAGCTCAATTTCAACTTCAACATTACCTTTTCCTTTTCCCAATTTTCAGCAAATATCTCCAAGCTTGTTGCATTTCGTCTTATTTGAATTTTTTTATGGTTAGCATTTTGGTTGTTATTAGATAATAAAACATGAACAATACTTTATGCATGACTACTTTTTAAATATTGTTTAAAAAAATTAAATAAGACGAACGATCAAAGTTGAACATGAAAACTCATGACTGCGTTTAAAATGGAACATAGGAGTAGCGTTTAAAATGGAACATAGGAGTAGTCATGCATAGTTGTGAATGCGTCTCCTTAACACACGCTCAAAATCTCGAATATAGGTAAAACAAATGGACAGCAACAAATCTCTAAGCAGGACTAAGGCCCC